ACACACGCCCCTATCCTTGAGACAACACCCACAGGAGGGAAAGGGTAAGACTCAAAGCTGCAGGAAACAGGAAGCCAGGGCTCCAGGCAAGTTTCAAATCCTGCCCCCAGGGTGCTGCAGGGTCATAGGGATGGGACAAGCTGAGCCTCCCACAGTCCAGAAGCCGTGTGTAGTGGGCCTCACCATGTATTCCCAATTCACAGGCCCCTCTGAGTGGGAGAACCGGATCTGTGGGTGGCACTTTTTCCTGGTGAAGTCTAAATAACCATGACAGCAGGAGCTAAGGAGGGAGGGGCCTAGCCCTGAGAAGTTCCTTCTAAGTCTTCAAAATTCCTCTCCACTTCCCTCCTCTCCTGCCTCCTCCTCTCTCCTCCCCATGGCCCCTTTCTCTCTTTTTTCCTTCCTCCTCTCCTCACCTTTCTCTTCTTTCCTCTCCTCTCCACCTCTCTCCCCCTCTGCCTCCTCCCCTCTTCCCCTCCTCCCCTCCCCCTGTCTTCTGCTTCTCACAGTGTGGGTAGCACTCCCACTGCTGGCCTCTGTCCCCCGAGCTGGGAACTGGAGTTCAAGGGTCAGAACCCTTACCCAAAGTCCCTTCTGCACCTAAATATTTACTGCTGTGTCTGCCCACAAAAATTAATACCCCGATTCTGTCGGACGATTCCCACTGCCCACTTTGCCTTTGAAAGTCACGCTGGCGCTGGTGCGCTCAGGCTGGCCACAATGTCAGTGCCCACAATGCCCGCACAGAGGCCTCTGGTTGCGCATACAAAGCACCCGGCCAGCTATTATCATTCCGGAGCTGAAATCCACCCCAGCGTGCATCTCATCGGTCATTCAGCAGCCCTTAATGACTTGTCAGTTCCTTGCCCTGCCATTTTCTGTCTAATTAATTCTTTTATTGTGCACCGGATAAAGAAAGACAAAGGCCTCCCGGCAATAGTGATTCATTAAAATGCAGCGCCTTCCCTGGAGCTCTTGGCCCTGTACCAGCATGGCTGCTCTGCCCTGCCAGGCCTCGCGCCCCTTAACCCTTTGCAGGATCCTGGTTTGGGGTGCCAGCCTGCCTCAGCCTCTGGGGACTGGGTGAGTGGGGCTCCTGCAGCTGCTGGTGCTCAGGGAGGAACCTGACCTGAGCTGGTTGGGAAGCCTCCTGAGCTGGTTGGTGAAGCGTCTCCCATGGCAGCAGCAGCTGGAGGAGGCCAGGGTCTGGCCCCAGCCCTCTGGGACAGACAGGGACTAGAGAGAGCTGAGAGGTGCAGAGAAGGCTTCTGTACACGCACACAGGACCCTGCTGGGCACAGCCTAGCCAGGGCAGGGGAGGCAGAGAGGCTACCTGAGCCCCTCCAGCAGCCATTCCAAGGCTGAGCTAAAGGGAGCCAAGCCAACAAGTCACTGTGAGTCTTGGGGAGAAAAGGGGAGAGGAGTGAAATTCCCAGGAGTCCAGGGACGAGTCTGCCAGCAGGATGGAGCAGGAAGGTGCCTGTCATGTGTGTCTATGTGCTGGCCTCGGCCACACCTGGTTAATCCTCTGGGCACCTTGGCAAGGCCATCGCCATCACATGGTCATGGGGAAAACTGAAGCACAGATTGGTAAACTGGCAAGTGGCAGAGCTTCCAACCACTGGCTCAATCAGCCTTCCTGTGGGGGAGCCTAGAGGCCATCTCAGTGCAGCAGCAGGATCCCAGAGGCAGAGATGGAGAGAGGTGGTATCAAGGCCTGTTTCACTTTTACTTAATTTTCTTATCAGCAAATTCACCCTGTTTTGCAAATGGGCAAAGAGAAGCATCCTGTGATTGGAGGTAATAATACCACCTATAGTCAGTCTCGGGAGTAGGGGCAAAGTGCTCAGTCACAGCAGGTCCTAACCTCACTGAGTACCCCCAACACTGGGGTGGGGGACATTCTCATCTCACAGATGGGAAAACCAAGCTCCCCGAGGAAAGCCAGGTGCCCCAAAGACAGCTGGACGAAACAAGACACAGCAGCCCTCAGCACCAGGCCTTGGCCCCTCTCTGCTCCAGATGGGCCTCACGTGAAGGTAGGACCCAAGCCCCAGGGCATCTCCCCCTTTTTCCCCTTCCCTCTCCGACTTTCCTCCTGTAGCCCCAAGTGAGCCCCAGGGTCCCCACAGCCCCATCCTGGGAAGATGTCATCTGCAGACCTGCTCTGTCCAGGATACAGGAGACCCCCAAAGTAGGGAGGCTTCTACCAGGGTGAGACAGGAAGCAGGAGGCATTAGGACACAAAGCCTCCGAAATGCAGACAGGGAGATTATGTTCCTCCCTTTCCTGGCCAACTCGGAATGTAGGGGTTCCCAAAGTGACAGGGACCAGGTGGGTCCCTGCAGCTCCCAAGCATGTCCTGGCCAGGGGCTGCAGGTGGTTTGGAGGCACAGCCCCCTCACGTGCATTGGTCAGCTCGGCCGCTGCCGTGTCCTCAGGATGGGTCAGGGCTACAGAGCAGGTTCCAGGGAGCAGGGTCCCGGGTGAGGCCATGTTTGGGGGCCCCATGCATCTATAGTCTCCTTCCCTCGGAATGATTCCTTGGCCTGAGTGCCTGAGGTGGGCAGCCAGTCTCCCTGTCTTGGGGTCCACACTGTCCTCCAGGGAGAGTGGGGGATTTGGCAATGCTGACTCTGTGGCTCTGAGACTGGGTCCTCATTGACACAGGTTTTCCGCGAAGCTTGGTGGAATGAGTCCAACGTGGCCATCCACACAGGTGGCGAGGGCTCATCTAGTATCTGGTGGCTGTCATGTCACCACTGGGAAACACATTTCCCCAGCCCAATGGACAGCTGCCCCTGCAAACCTGGTCAGCCAGAGACAGAGTCCACAAAGATCCTCTGTCCTGGGCCAGGCACTGAGGAGAAAAGATTGGGGTCCAGAAACCAGGCCAGCACCCAAGTCTGTGACACTCATCCTGGGCGTTGTCCTCTTAAATGTGGCCTAAAGTAGAAGCAGGCTGTGCGTGTCCCAAATCTGACCCCTGGGTCAGGCCTAGTGAGTGCGGGTGACGGGCCTCTCCCAGGCAGCTGCTGGGAGGACGCAGGCCTCCCCAAAGTGGACAGCCACGCTGGCCGTGAACTCACGTTCAAACAGAAAATCCACTCCCGAAAGTTGACATTGTCCCAGGAAGAGCAATTGTGCCTGGGACCAGAAGGGGCTTTTCTAGACTATCAACGCAGGGCTGCATCATAAACGCCGTTTCCTCTTTCTCTCTGAACAGGGCATTCTCTTCAGCTGAGATCAGAGGCAACACACTCTTTTCTGCATGAGGAAATAAAAAATGAGGAACTTTCCCACTGGCCCATCCCCAGGATGGGCTGCTCTCAGTGAGAACAGGGCTCTGGACAAGCTTGGGCAAACACCCCTCGGACCTGGGGCAAGGCAGGGCCGAGGCTGGCCTTGTAAATAATGTTATCAACCAGAAGCTCCTGAAAAACCCTCACCAGCCCAAGGGCCAGGGCAGGCCCCAGGACTCCTCATAGAAGTCCAGACTCCCAGGGTGCCCACTTTGCCTCCCTCCTCAGAGTGTCACTGTGGGAGACAAAGAACCCCATGACTCCCAGGGTCCTTGAGTGCCTGAGAATGCTCCTAGAGGTGAAGCCAGCAGCCAGGCCTCCACGAAGGGGGGCCAGGGACAGGCAGGAGAAAACTTCACATATGTCGTCTTCATGCCCAGGCAGGGGCATGGCCTCCCAGGATAGTGGTAACTGTCCTTCGTCTCCCTGAAGTTTCATGAGCTCAGAGGTAGGAAACCCATGGAGGCTCATCCGGGACCCATGAAGCTTTCACACCAGTGGAGGTTGGTGGGAAGGAGGGCCAGGCCCCCAGGAGTTAACACGCAGGAGCCCTGCCAAGTCCACACAAAACTGCAGAACGTCCAGCCCTCGGGAGCCTGGCAAGGCCTGAGCGAACCCGGAGCAGCCAAGGGGCGGCCTCACTCACCCTATCGGTGAGCTGGATGCTGGAGTTCCTCCATTTGGGTTGTCAACGGGCGAGCTCTGAGGGCCATATGGACCTGGACAGCCCTTGGCTGGGCACAGGATGAGCTGGGCCAGTTCCATGCAGGCAGAGGGCTGTGAGAGTCAAGGGAGTCCAGGGGCCTGGCTTTCTGTAGCGCCCTCCCATACCCCACCTTGCCCTGGAGGCTTGGCACACCCTGGACCGCACCAACCCTCATAAATCCAGACAGCTCTTCCCAAACGCTACTCTTGGCAGGCCCTGGACGTGGCTCCCCAGCATGGGGCGAGGGACGTGCCCTGGACTGCAGCCACGAAGGCGGCTGGACAGGCAAGGGAAAGGGGTGAATGCCCCCCTACCTGGGCCACCCCATTAAAATTGCAGAGGCAGCTGCCTAGTGTATCTGGGTTCTCATGAGAAGCATAATCTTCCTCTTACCCCTAGCCCTGAGAGGCCCCCGAACCAGCCGCGTGTGCCGGGGAGGCCCAGCCAGGGGGTGAGGCTGCCCCTTGCTCGCTGTCACTCCCCACAACCATTTCTCCCTAGAAACACTGTCCGCCAACCAGACAACCCTGCCTGGCTCCTGCAGGGCGGCTTTTATCCTGCTCTCAGCCTGGCCCTGTGCCAGGGCCCGAAAAATGCCGTCAGCCACCCAGAAACCCGCTTTGGGATTTGCCTGGGAAGAAACCACAGCCCCTGAATCTGGCCCATCTGGACCCATTTTGCCTACTGAGGAGGCCCCCCAGGAAGGAAGATGTATCGCCAGCTTCCTGGAGTTCCCTGATAGCTGTCATGTTCAAATTCAGACACAGTGCCCAAGAGAGACGGTGGTCTGGCCACCCCCCTGGGATAGAGATGGGTCTCCACCTTCGGTTGAGGTCTGGCTGGGCCCAGGGGCTTTGACTGTCCACGTCCTCCGAGGCTCAAAGAGCCCCACCTCTGCCTTGGCCAAGCGCCTTCAAAGTGGGAGCCCCCTGGGCCTTGGAGCCCCACATCGCCCAGGCTTAGGGAAAGCAACAAACACAATGCTGCCCTCATAGATAGAAAGCATTTTTTTTTTTTTAATTTCATCAAATCAATCTGTACAAAAGTTAGCATGGCTTGGCCAGAAAGTAGTGAAACACAGCAGGTAAGTGAGAGTAAAAGTTCAAACTCAACACTGAAAAATAGATTGCATAAAAATGAGTGTTGTACTTCCCCGCCCCCACCCACAGAAAGAGATATGCAAAAGACTTTTCTAGAAAAAAGGTAGGAAAAGTAGAAAAAGTAAAAAGAAGCAACTTCAATGTATTTAAATTTACAAAGTTTAAAGGCACAAGTTTCCATGACACTGGCAGTTATCATAGCTGAGCGTACAGCGGAAGCAGTACAGGTAAGTCAGGTATTATTATTCGTCTAAAACGAAGAATCTAAAAACGCTTAGTGAAGGTTTTAGTTTCACAGCTTGGAGGTGGCGCCTGGTTCCTAGGAGCCAAGGTTAATGTGTTTCTAAAGCCACCACATCCCAGGAAATTCCCGTCTCTACCACTTAGCACAGTTGTGGGCAGGGATGAAACACAATGATGTCCCTGCCTCCTAAACCTCAAGTTAATACCTGGTGCCCGGAGCACCCCAACCTGATCAGAGACACTACAAGGCAAATTCCTTCTCCCTCACAGTCCCAGCTGCCTCCCGGAAGCCTGGAGCTCAGGCCCTCCCTGGCGCCTCCCAGCAGCCCAGCTCCAAAAGGCCCAGATCGAGGGTCCCAACCCCACCTGCCCTCCGGGCCCAAGTCCTCAGCTCCCAGGCTTTCGTTTTATCTTAAATTCTACTCTCTGCACAAATTACTTCATTAATTAAAGATAAAATAATACAGGACATAAATACATTTTAACAGCTTTCAAAACAAATCAAACACGTTTGAGTCTCAAAAATAAAAATTAAAACAAAATAAAATAAAAAGAAAGAAGTGTTAATCACAGCCAAACCTTCCTCAGAAGAGCCCTAACTACAAGGAACACCTCAGATCTAACAAGCTGGTCCCAAGAGATGCTCCTGCAGACTCATCCCTGCCAAGGTGGTCCTGTGGATGCATCCCCGCCAAACTGCTCCTCCGAACGCACCCCCAAGGCTGTGGATGTGCCCTTTCGCCGTGGAAATGGCATCCATGGGTCCTGGGAGTTCTTGGTGCTGAGGCTGGCCGGGAGCTCAGAACGAAGGGGGCCTGGATACCCGTCGCCTCTTCCCTCCTTTTGTCCTTTGTACCGTGGCTCCGTTTGGCATCCACTGTGATGCAAAACCAAGGCGCTGGTGTCTGTGCAGAAAAGGGACCCAGTGGCTATCCTTCATTTCAAAGTTGCCAGTCACCACAGAGAGAGGGGAGGAAAAGAGGGCTTTGTCCATTGACAGAAGTTTGGAGATCTCGAAGCAAAGCAAAGGGGCTCAGGTGGTTTCCTGCACACATCAGCAGGCACTTGATGGAGCTGGGCACACACGGCTGCCTCTTCTCACCTCGATGACCAACACCTCCAGGGTGACCTCAGAGGCTCTGTCTTTGAAGAGATAAAGGTTCTCCTCTGCCCAGGCCGGCCCTCTCCACTCAACCACGGTGCCTTCAGGGTCTGGTCAGGGTGGTGTACACGGGCTGGTCCCAGTTACTAGGGGGGCTGTGAGCAGGTGGCACAGAGAGGCTGCTGAGCAGGGGTGAGGTATAGGGCCGGCGGGATGAGTGGAAGTAGGGATACTGATAGAGGCTGGACGGGTAGCCAGCATACGGGTTGTAGTAGTTGGGGGCCTGCAGGTCGGTGTAGTCGCACTGTGAGCTGGTGAAGGAGCTGGCAGCTGCAGCAGAGGCGGCCGTGGTGACACTGGCCTGGGCACTGTAGGAGCTGTAGTCAGTACGGCCTGGAGAGCTGTGCGATTGGTCACCATAGTGGCCGGGGCTCAGCTGCTCGGTCTTGATGTGCGGTCGAGGGGGACCTGCTTCGGTGGGTGATGCAGAGGCCGATGGGGCTCCCTTGTGTGCCCACACAGGGGATGCTCCAATGCCCGCCGACCCGGAGTGTGAGTAGGAGGCACCCCCGTAGGAGCCAGAGGTGGAAGGCTGGCCCGGCTCTGTGGGCAGGGCAGAGTGGCCATTGAGGGGCAGGTACTGGTCAAACTCGTGGACATCGAAGGTGTCCATGTTGCCGATGACCTCACTGCTCAGCTCTGAGATGTCCACATTACTGAAGTCGATGTTCTGGCGCCCACTGTCCACCAGGCGGCGGCCTTCCAGCTTCAGCTCTTGCTTGCCCCCTTGGTGCAGGTCCGTCTTGGGGGTGGTAGGTGGGGTGGGTGGCCCGTGGGTCTGCCCTAGGGTCAGAGCACATTTCAGGGATGAATGCCCCTTCTGTGGGGGCGGGGGGTGGGGCTGGCAGGGCCGGCAGGCTGGCGACATGCACATGGGAGGAAAACCAGCCTGCTAACAGCCGCAGGTAGGAATCAACAGCTTTTTGTTCCTGTACATTTCCCAGAAATTCCAGCAAAGCCAGACCCAGACCTCACTCCTTGCCTGAGAAAATTCCGTTAAGCACTGCTCTGTGGAAAGACCTGGGACCAAGGAGGCCCCACTGAAAACCACAGTGGAGAAAGAAGAGATAACTACGTCTAAGAAGCGTTCAAGGAGTGCCTAGCCCGTGCACGTAACAGCAACACAAAACCTGTTCATGACTTTAGCCAGCTTGACNTCCATACAAAACCTGTTCATGACTTTAGCCAGCTTGACTGAGACCGCTTGCGGGCCAAGACTGCACCTCGGTCAGTGGGACCCTAAAGCTGGGCTGCTGACAACCATGCTGGCAGCAGGAGTGAGTCCTGGGTCAGAACCAGCAAAAAGGCCCAGGGAGGCAGGGATGCCTTTGGGTAGGACAGAAAACCCTCTGTCACAAGGTGCCAACTAGGCAACCTTTGAGATCCTCCAAGCCCAGAGGGGCTAATCAGAGTACCCCCTCCCCACATAGAGTATGCATCAGAAGCAGTTGCCACCGGGAGCTTTGGGAGCTTTGGGGGGATATACAGGGAAGGTTTGGTCATCTTGTGAGTGCCTGCCCTGGGAGTGAGCCCCTTTTCACTCCCCCACTGCCCATCTCTGCCATGGCCAGAACCCCCACTTCTCCCACTGGGGATTCTCAGACACTGGGGGCTCCAGGAGCTGACCTGTGTGGTCGCCGTGGTGGTGTACGTCGCCAAGGCCCGTGTCAGTCTTGTACACAGCACCGCTTGGGTGGTGGCCCAGTTCGGCGCCCGAGTCGGAGTCGCTCTGGCCTGTCTTGACGCTCTTCCTCCGGCGGGGTTGGTACTTGTAATCAGGGTGGTCCTTCTTGTGCTGAACCCGCAGCCGCTCCGCCTCCTCCACGAAGGGGCGCTTCTCATTCTCACTCAGCAAGCTGCGGAGCCAAGAGTACAATCAGGATGGCAAGGGCGTCCAGGCTAGCACCGGTGCCCACGCTGCCTGGGAGCCGGACTGTGCCCCAGATGAAGTGCAAGAAGGGGGCCAGGACAACCCTGACCAGGAAAGCTTGGGTGCACCCGCACCTCGGTAGGCACTAGGCAGTGCTCCCCCTCTTTGAGCCATGGCGCCTGGGTGGTGAAATCTGTGTGTTCAATAAAGTCAAAGAAGGAACAGTAACAAGACCCAGATCTCTCATCTCCTTCCTCCTGACTCCCCCAGCCCAGCCTCTGACTGTCCCCTCCCTTATGGGCAGGTGGGGGAGGAGGGCAGGACCCAGCTGAGAATACACTACGGACAAAGTGAGCTTTCCGGGAATTGAGGTGGGACTTCTCGGACAGCTGGGCTTCCCAGACCTCCAGAAAATTCTGGCAAAATTCAGTGATTCTCAATGAGGCTCAGAACACACACTGGCCTCTCAGACTCTTCCAGAAGCTCCCTTCTAACTGCCTGCAGGACAGGGCATTGGGGCACAGAGGCACAAGTCCACGGTGCCCCGAACGGACAGGAACAAGAGCACAGAAGACAAACATGCAAGCTTCGATCGCCCACACTCATGAGGTGAGGAGCAGAGAACAGTGTCCCGGTGCCCTGAACCCAAAGCCGTCCATTTTGAGCCCGAGTAGAGAGTGTTTGGTGGGATGGGCTGTCCTGAGCGGCAACTTTGTCACTGCTGCTGTCCAACTTTCTGCAAAAACCACCAGCCTCACCATGCCAAAGTGTGCAGCTGTGCGGAGAAGGTGCCAAGGGAGCAGACCCTCCCTCTGCCCTTTCCAAGGCGGAGCACCCCCAGACACAGGCAGCTTCTCCTGGGGGAGGAATAGGCTTCCAGGCTCTGAGGCCACCTACAGCTGGGGCCCCCCAACTCTGCATGCCAGCCACCGCCTTAGGCAGGCTATTCCCGTTCCAGGCTCCAGAAATGTGGTAAGGGTGGCACGCTCCTGCTGCTGCCCTCTGTGGGCCCACACCCGGAGGGCCCGCGCCTGGTCCTTGCCGGCCAGAGGGTGTTTTTCCACTAGGGCTCGCCCTGGGAACAGCCACTGGGAGCAGGGCCGAGACCGGGCATAGCGCCACCGCCCCGAGCCCCCCAGGACTCACTGGCAGCCCCCGCCCCTGGACCGGGGACACTCACCGCCACAGCTTGCCCAGTGTCTTGCTGAGCTCGGCGTTGTGCAGGTGCGGGTACTGGTCGGCCAGCTTTCGGCGAGCTGCCTGCGCCCACACCATGAAGGCGTTCATGGGCCGCTTCACGTGCGGTTTGGCCTTGAGTGCGCCCCCGCCGCCGCCGCGCACCGGCATGGGCACCAGGCTCCAGTCGTAGCCCTTGAGCACCTGCGACACGGCGTCGCGAATGCAGGCTGGGAAGCGTTCGTCCGCCG